TGGTTGCAGCCATCATTGTTGTTTGGCAGGCCCAGGCTGGATTTGAACCCACCAGCTCAGGTGTATGTGAACCCACCAGCTCAGGTGTATGTGGCTGGCACCTTAGCCGCTTGAGCCACAGGCGCTGAGCCAATGCTAACAATTTTATTTTCTCCTCTGTGCTTTACTGTATTCATTGTTACACAATGGTGGTTATATTACATGGGCAATCGGGGGGAAAAAAAAGTAAATGATACATTGTCTAAAATTGAGAAGTCAAAAAAGAGTTGTACAAGCATATTATTTAAACACGGAGGTTAACCACCATTAGTTCTAAGTAGCTCCTTTTGGAAAACTGCAATAAGAAAAGAGAAGGTGAGGGTATGAGATGACTGCTTTCCATCTTGGACCCTCTCATACAATTTATTTTTAAAGTCAGACATGCCTGTGGTAAATTTTTTCAAGTGTTCTTTAAAAACTTTATTTCTTATAGGAATAAGAATGTGCATCTCTGACAAACCTATTAGCCGTGAATACTAGTTCAGATCTGTCCATTACATCACACCCATTGTCACTCTAGAATTCTACTTACTATAACATGCAATTTGATTTACAGAAATAATTTCTTACCTATACTGATGATATAATTAATTTTTTTAAAGCATACAAGGTAAAAACAAAAGTAAATTTATTTACAAAATTACAATAATTACAGATGGTACAAAATGAGACATTTCCCCTGTTCCTGTAACAGAGTCAGAGCCTTCAATTTCAAATGAGGATTTCTGTTATTCAGAAATATGACGCAGATTCAGTAATCCTCTGCCTTTTAAAACTGCTTTCCTAATTCCAGGAAGCCTGTTAGAGATATACTTAGATAATTTCCTTTGAATCTTTCCAGAACTGCTATGTACAAATCCAGCACAAATGGAACACAACAGGGTAAGAAAGCAGAATAATAACAACAGAATAATCTTTCTTTTTTTTTTGGCAACAGTAAATTTTGACTATTCCCTAAATTATCTGCCTAGTGGATTAGAACTAAAACCATGATTTTGGCTTTAAAAAGAAAGCTCACTTTTTTAACAGGCTGCAAAAATCTACCATAGCCAGTATTTACCTGGTTATTTTGTAGTCAACATTTCCCTGCCACTGTTTCAAGAAACTGAATTCTATAGCATCCAATTCTGTATCATGTCTTTCATGTTTTTTTAATCAGAGTCACTGCTACTGCTTGAAGAGTCGGTTGACATAACTTCTACATCATCTTCATTTTCTTTATTATGCCCAGGAGGTTCCAACAGAAAGTCATTACTGTGATTTGGTGGTAACATGTTCATGGACATATCATTTGACTGCCACGGATACTGGGGGGCAAGGACATCTGCAGAAAAGAAAGAAGCGTAAGTAACAGTCCTATGTGTGATCCATCTACTGTTCCCTTTATGCACATTATTTGAAATAAACTTTTTTTAAGGTTAGAAAAAATACACATTTGGCCAAATTAATGAAGATAAAATATATCTAAGAAAAGTACAATGTTTAACAAATGAGAACCTGTGTTTTGTTGAAGTGAAAAAGCATCTGATCCTATAAAAAGCTATGCAAATAGTTGGCATAATTTTTCTTCTCCTAGACATGTACCATTACAAATCAAATGCATCCAATGTATTCGGTCACCCAGATGATTCCACCTATAGGTAATACCACCTACTTCGTTAAGTATTATAATCAGTGTGAACAATTTCTTAGAAAGTAGAGGAGCTGCTACTGAAAGTAACTCTAATCAAAGAGTTGATGAGCCAAGGCTGTGTAATACATATCTTACCAAAAAAGAGCCCAAGTCATATTAAAAGTATATATGAAAATAAGGAACAGAGCACATAAGTAGGTATAGTTCAAGACAAAAGAAAGAAGGCAGATTTAAAGAAAAGGTTACAGTATTAAATAGATAGATATGCTAGTTAGTTTTAAATCTGCCCTTCTCCCTGGTCCCTGAAATCATTTCCCGCTGCCAGCAGACACAATGTTAAGCTTTGTCAGTAGAGGGCGACAGGTGGGGAGGAGGGGTAGGACTACCACAGGAGAACAGGATTCCTGAGCACATATTTTCTTTCTTCCTTTACTCCTGTGATGCCTGGCTGGTGTGCAGAACATTGAGTGGTGTTTACCTCAGCAACTTTCAGCGGTACCCTCCCCCACAAAAGGTGGTTTCCCAGAAGATTTCACCACAATCCCAAAGGACGGTTTCCTAGCAAGACTCCCTGAAACCCCAGTGGGTAATTTCCTGCTGGCCAGGTAGGGCCTCTGACATCTAACTTCTCTGCCCTGCAGTGGGCCATAGCTACACTACACGCTCCCCAGTGACAGTGTCCATGATACAAACATCAGTCTTGGGATGGGGTGCCGGGGGATCCCCTTCTAGTCAGTCCCTTCCCTGGGTTCTGCCTTGGTCCTACATGTTCCCTTTATCTGCTCCTCTCCTACTTTTAAAAACTAAGTTCTCTTTACCCTTTAGTAGATCCTTGTGAGTAGTTAATAAATCTTTAAATTCTCCTTGTTCAAATTACTGGTGTGGTTTCTGTCTCCTGATGGACCACGACTGGCATATAATCCAATACAATTACAAGGAGAAAGATGTGACAATATCCAAGGAAACTAACACTCACACAGTGAGTTCCCTGGTTTGTACCCTAGGTGGCTAACAAGAATGATGCATACAATGTATTTCTAGTAACTCAGGGGTATCCTTATGATATAAAAACAGTATTAGAGCGTATTTTAACAATGTAAAAATATGTGGGGAAAAAGAAATAGACTAAAATATTAAAGTGACTGGCTCAAAAGGTGTATTTTTTTCCTTTTTTATGTCTTTTTCTACTTTCCAAATATTCTACTGCATCAAAAGTCATTTACAAAATACTAAAAATGAGGGATAACATAACAAATACAAAATAGCACAAACATAAGCAACTCAGGGAAGCTCAGAAAAACTGTGTCCCACATAAATGCTACTTTATAAAGTTATAAGAAGACTATCAAAAGCTTCTGTTACTTATTTTGTTAACTAGGGGGTTGTTCAGGAGTGTTCACTTTATCTCTGTAATGTGAACATTTATGTTTCTTATTCTACTAATATAGCTTATTTCACAATTATTAAAAACAGGCTATGTTTACAGCAATAATAAAAAGAGGCCCAATGTCTGAGGAATACGGCATAGTCCTAACCAATAAGAGAGAAAGGCAGCTTACTCTAATTTCATACCTCCATCTAGCTGTCTTTAAAATAGAGAACAGGGTAAACTGGCAAAGAGCCTAGTTATTAAAATGAGCTGAGTCTGAAACCTCAAACTTGTTTAGGCCAAATATCCCGTTATTGTCATCTCTGAATACCCATTCTTTTGATGAAAATTACCTGGCAGTCTGCCCGCTGCAAGTGCATCCCCTGGTAAGTGACCATTCACACCATTAGTGGAAGGATTGTTCATTTGACCCAATAATCCACTTCTCATCTCTAAGTCAGTTGGGTATGGTCTCCGCGGGTCCCCTAAAACAATGAAGACTGCTTTTAGTTTAATCATACATTTAAAAATACATTAATATTTTGTCTGAAGTATTAATTTTCCTTGGTTCACACTGAAAAGCTCAAACTATAGGTTCAATTTTGGAACATGAAAGTCATCCTATCAATTGTTATTAAGGGCATAGCATAGTAATTTTAAAAATATATTTATTAATTTCTCTGAATCTTCCCCCAAATATACTATTTTCTATAGTAACAAAATAAGAAGGCTGTCATTTTAGTTATCATTCCAAGTGACAACTTAAGAAAACTATAAAGATCTAGATTCTTCTAAGCTAACTTCATTTTCATAAGAAAACAATAATGATACATATGGAAGGAAAACAGATCATGACATATAAGATAGAAAGGACTAGGATGTTTATTGGAAGGACTGTCTAAAGTAAGACTTTTTTCTAACCAGCCTCTTTGACTTGTCATTTAAATTAATTCCCATGAGTTTCTAGTTGAATATCAAAAGCAGGTAACGTTTATTCTAATCACGAAAGCATATCGATGGCAGTTTGGGGTGGATAGAAACAAAGCCGGATGTGGACCAACTTCTTGGTAGTGTTTCTCATCAACTCCAGACTGCTCACCCCTTGAACTGTAGTTACCCTTAGTCCTTTTACCATAAAACCCCACCCTCAGGAGTTAAATGGAGATAACTACCTCCCATTCCTCCAATAAGGCTGATGCTCTCCCTTCGGTCTCCTGTTTTATGTTCTATCCACCATCAAAATACCTACCATTTATTATTCTCTTTACTGTTTCTAATCATTCCAGCTCTTGCCCAGCCTGTGTGTTTGCTGTTGGGTGCTCAGCACTTTGTCTTCAGCACCTAAGAGAACTGACACTATTTCTCAAACTGGAGCTTTGTGGAACTCCTGACGGTTCTGAACAGATGCATATACTCATATATACCTCTAGAAGCACCACATGTTATAGTTTTTTAAATTATTTTTTTAATTTGTTATTTTAAAAAACCAAAGAAATACAGTCGCTAGTGGCAATGGCTTTGTAGAAAATCAAATTTATAAAACCCATGGCCTACATCCTTAGAAGACATTAAAGATATGAAAATATACCAGATGTTTCTAAGGAGAAATGCAGTCTATATTTAATTTATATACATACAGTCACCTATGAATTTTCAAAACCATACATATCTAGAATAAAAGAGAAGTATTTTTACCTGGAACCCAGGTCAGTGGAGCACACACAGCATTACTTGCACTAATCCTATGTGCATACTTAATTATTTCTTCAGAGGAAATAGCACCTGAAAGAGTTAAAGAAACAGCATTGGCTCGGCGCCTGTGGCTCAAGTGGCTAAGGCGCCAGCCACATACACCTAAAGTGGCGGGTTCAAATCCAGCCTGGGCCCACCAAACAACGAGGGCTGCAACCAAAAAAAATAGCCTGGCGTTGTGGCAGGCGCCTGTGGTCCCAGCTACTTGGGAGGCGGAGGCAGGAGACTCGCTTGAGCTCAGGAGTTGGAGGTTGCTGTAAGCTGTGATGCCACAGCACTCTACCCAGGGGGACAGCTTGAGGCTCTGTCTCAAAAAAGAAGAAACAGCATCATCTTTTAGTCTAGATGAGACTAGATCTCATGTTAAAAGTGTACATATCAGGACAGCGCCTGGGCTCAAGGAGTAGGGTACTAGCCCCATATACCAGAGGTGGCGGGTTCAAACCTGGCCCTGGCCAAAAAAGAAAAAGAAAAAAACAAAAAAACTGTAAAAGTACATATCAGTTACAAATTGTATTTTTAAATTATCTAAAATATCTCAGTCATCTACCGTGTTTCCCCGAAAATAAGACACTGTCTTAGATTTATTCTCAAGACATACAAGGGCTTATTTTCAGGGGATATCTTATTTTTATTAGTATAATACAACAATCTACATTTATTCAAATACAGTTAAGTCATTTTCTTTTGGAACCTGACAGGCAGAGCCGACCTTGTTGGTGGGGCTGGCGCTAGTAATGCATGAACTCCTTTCCCCTAGCCCATGTGCACAGTAGGATGCCTGAGAACATGGTTACCAAATGCACACCTGAGCAAGTGTGAACGGCTCGGAGAAAGGAGCTGTGGCAGATAAAAGGTATTCCAGTCTTCCTTACTGCTCCGCGCTGAAATGCATGGCGTATCTGCATAGCCACGCTCATCACTAAGTCGTATTATGGAGTTTTAGTTAGAATCTTGACTTTTAATATAGCCACCTAAAAGATCCATTAAGTTCCATAATGGAATTCTTTTAAAGTGGGGTAGCGGGACAGGAAGGCATGTGGGGTCTCTGCACCACAGTTACGTGCTAACATCCCAAGCTGTATTTAGTCCCAGTTCATTTGCCAAGTGGTTGCTCTTTCACTATTAGCCTTCAAGATCCAGTTCAAACACTCCTTGCTTTCAGCCCACATTTCCCTTCTCTCAAAATTTTATAAACCCCTTGTGTTCACTGGACACGTGGCTACACAGCCATAAATTATAAGCTTGCCTTCTATTACTGTTTTTTTGGAACCTGAAAAACACCTAGCACAACAATGCTAGAACACTAGAACATATCATGCATTACAATAAAAATGTATTAGAACCTTTCAACAGCAACAATACATGAGTCATAATAAAAGTTTTGAGATACCCAAAAATCAAGAAACATAGAATCCACTCAAACAGAAGCAAATGAAGCCCTTCCAGCAACACCAATAAGCCAAGCTAACTGAAACTTGCATGGGTGAATCGGAAAGGATACTTGTGGACTGTGTTTCTTGAAAGTGAAATAATGGACCATACCTAACAGTCTATCTCAAAACTTTCACAGTGACCTATATACTCTTAGTTTCTTAATGCCAGAACTTGGATCTTTTTAGACCAATCTTCCCACAGTACTAACCTTTTCTTGCTTTTTCTATTGACTTTAGTTTCTCTTTTGCTTGGTAAACAGCTGTTGCCTAATGTAAAAACAATAAAAAAAGAAATATATTTTATTCTTAACTATATCAAGAACAGTTTTTGGCTTAATTCACAAAATCGTTTATCCCACAGGAACTACATGCAAAATTTGGAAATCCACACAATTTTTCTGTTGTTCTGAAACCTCACTTGATATCATTTATTTCAGTTATATATATCTCTTTTTTTTTTCTTTT